GTCCCTGACGGCCCCTCATATAGGGGAATCAACGTTTACGTGTGTGATGTGTAATAGCTGTCTGCCCACAGAGTTTCAATTCCTGTCAGAATCAGATTAGTATGCACATATGATGTCTCTCTTGAGAGTAGTAACGTCTGCTCCATCATAGTCTAATGTTTCTCCCCACCCCTGAAGCCACTTCTTCCGTGCACGTGTACAAAAACAAACCTCCCTCCTCCTGTGTCTTCCCTTTTTTTAACTTCGTCTCATCTCTTCCTCACACTCACACACACGCTGACATTTAAACTGTGGCTGTCAACAGCAAGTTGTCTCTACCAGAACAAAAAAATCCAACAGTGCAGTACACAGAGAGAATAACCATTGCATTTTGTAGTTACTGTATTTGCTGATGGTTATCTAGTGAGAGTACCATGTGGGACTGTTAGTGGCTTGGCTGCATGTCAGCAGTTCTGAGGAGTCTCTTCTAAAGCTCGTCTTCTGACCCTCCCGGACTGAACTCTGCCAAAACCTGAGACACATTTGGAATGTGTCTGAAACTCTTCACCCACCGGACAGCTTTCTTTTACAATCAAGGCGCACCTCTTACCCAAAAAACATCAGGTGAGGTATTTATTTATTACAGCAAAAATTATACTACACTCTCACAAAAACATCTCTAAAAAGTATTACAGAAAAAGATAAAAATGTGACATGTTTTTATATGTTTTGTAAACAGGGTGTTAAAGGTATTAATTCATTTGGAACTTTCTTTGCTAGTTTTCTTTTTGTATCAGATTTAGTCAACCTCATCCTTTTTTATGGCCACATTGTTTCACTTTTGTTAAAGCAATGCATTCAGGGGGGATTTCTCAGCCTCACTGATACAAAAATGGGCCCACATATCTGTTGATGTCATTCTTAACTTTAAGTTTCTTTCCGTAAAACAGTTGATGTAAGTTACTCCAAAAGATATGGCACACAAAAACATAATATTTAATCTTAAAGAAAATAAAGAGATCTTTAACACGTTAAGTTTTTATTTTAGTCTCAATGATACAGCACCTTGATAAAGTCACAGTTAGCCTTTAATGATGTCTGTGTCGTCTCAGCATTGTCTATTTTTTGTCATAGAGAAAAAGGTTGTTGTTGAACATATTTAGATATAGCTTTAATTAAGAAAATTACCATTATTTGAAAACTGACTTTGTTTTCATCTCCTCTGGACTGTGAAAGGCAGCATGCTTGATGATGTGTGAGTCAGTGTTACAAAAATAATTAGGTTAGAAATGATTCTCTGCAGGGTTGAATGTTTTCTGAGGTTCTCCCAGCGGTAGTCACTACAACAGGTTGAAAAGTGCAAAAGGGAACTGCTTGACAAGAGGAAATAATGAAAATTCACAGGAATGTGGACTGTGATACCTGTGAAACGCAGCTTTGGTATTAGGGAGGTAAACTACAAAACATATTGCTTGCATTTTGCTTGACGTGCAGCACATTCCTCCTCCTTTAGGAAACAGCTGAAGTTTTGGTCTTTTAAAGCCTCACTGGTGACATGACTGTGTAATAACAACCAAGCTTTGTCCAGCTCATAATATTAACAAACACATAGTTGGCCCAGATGGACGAAAGGATGGACTAAAGCGTCGACCAACTGTAAAGAAGGCATGTATTAGGATGATATGTGAAATTTTCACTGAAAGATGAAAACCTGTAGATTAGAGGAAAAAGAAAATAACCTGTATTGATTTTAAAGTGAATAGAACAAGTGCTTCAACTAGGGCCATTGTTAGTAGGGAGGAAAAACCAGTTTGTTGTTAGTCATAGCTGCCAGACTGATGACTAAACAGCAGCATATGAATAATTTTAGAAAAAGTTGCAATTAAAAGAACAAAACTTTCCGATACCGTAGTCACGGTGTATTCCCAACCAACATTATTTGAACATTTTATGAATAATCCATTAAATCAAACCCATTTCCACACGCCTGCATGCACGCACATACACACACACACACACACACACACACACACACAGGCACACATTATTCACTAGAGATGGTCTGCCTCTAAATGGCTTCTCCATTATTGAATTTGGATGGGACAGCCTATCTCTGTCCAGACGTTAATGGCATTAGATGCTTCCTGAGCCTATAAACACACCAGGGCCAGGCCTAAGCAATAGAACAGAACAATGTGGAGAGGAAACAAACATTAGTGTCTGCCACTGAGATACAGAAACTAGCCATAAATATACAGAACACAGGTTTCATTTCCTAATGCTGAAATCTCAGAGAGAAACAGGAAATTGACAGAATAATGAAAACTTTTTGAAAAAAACTTTTGAGGGCTCTTGTCATTTTCCATAGGAATAGCAACCGCATGTTGTCTTTGTAAGAAGCTATTTGAGGGATCTACACTGAGGAGACATGGTGACTGTATTGTAACCAATTTTCTGATTACATTTACCTGTGCAGGAAGTGTTTTTTTTCTGTTCTAATTCAACACCAGAACATTTTGAACAGGAGGCAACACAGACTAATATCTAGGATGTGTCTGCCTAACAGACGGGAATCACACCCACGGCTCTATGATGAACTGGGACTGACCGTGCATCTACAGCGTAGATCAGGGAGTGAATTAATTGATTAATTTATATAGGGCATGGAGTTCACATTACTCATCCTTCAAGCCACAGTAAACATTTAAATCCCTCTTGTCTCTTCAGCCATCCAGTTCTGCTGATAGCTGTTACATCAGACATTAAACTGGACCATCAGTGAGTCTTTTTAAGGATGCATTTAAATTAACAGTAACTGACTGTAGGTTGTTTTGTCCCCACAGAATCAGAAATTCTTCTTGTGCTGATAAATTGGACTGAAGTTGTATTAAGCAGTGATTACAGTAAAATGCAAATGCTCACTTTGCGAGTTCAGTCTGTGCTGCCCCTGCCCGCCACTCTGATTTAGACCATGCAGGGCAATAAGTGCAACAATTTAACAAATAGCAGCATTAACATAAAATATTGTGATCGCCTAGGGGGCTTGGGAGCAGGAATTTCTACATCTAATTCACCCGATATAAGGCATTAGGTCCTTAATGCTCCCAGTTTCCATAAAACCAGGACATTTATAAAGAAAGTGCATGACATTTTTCTCCACACTGAGGCAATAAGGGGGGATTTTGGCAATCACAGTTTCTGTTAGTACTGTGGGTGTTATCGTCAGGGACCCTGACTAAGCCTGTATCTTCTCCAGGAGAGGAAAACTTCAGCTCCCTGCCCTAACACTGCATGTTGAGCCAAACTGCCTCACATTCAGAAACATCAGAGGACAACCAAATGATTTTATCTCTTGAGCTCACTGAACCACAAAATAGGATGGATACAAAATGTCCAAGCTCAAACCACTGGATTTTAAGGCATCGTGGGAGTAGGCTCATGTTGCCTGTGTCACTTTTACTCTGCCTTATTGACAAACACTTACTGTGTTACTGTGTTTTTCCGCAGGTGAATTCCTAACCAGCAAAGTGACAGAAAACTAAAGGAACAATGAACTCCACAGCCACAAATACGTCTGTGTGTGTTAAAATCAATGACAGTGCCATCAGTGACTTCCTGATGTCTGTTTACATTCTGGCTTTTATTTTTGGTTTGATCTTCAATGTGTTGACCATGGGACCCATTTGGCATCAAATGCGGCAGCAAAATGTTTTGGGCATCTTCCTGCTTAATCTCTCCATCTCTGACATTCTTTTCCTCCTCACTATGCCCCTTTGGATCAATTATTACCTAAAGAACCACCGCTGGGAGCTAGGTGTCATTTCCTGCAGTGTAGCTGGCTTTTTCTACTACTCCAACATGTACATCAGCATCTACCTGCTCTGCTGCATCTCCGTGGACCGCTGCCTGGTGGTCACCGACCCACTCCGCTCCAAGACCTACCGTACATCACGCTATGCTTGGGCACAGTGTTTTGGTGTTTATATTGTAGTGATTGTGATGCACATCATGGTACTGGTCCATGACAATCTCAAAGATGCCCATGATGACATTAACAACAATGACCGTTGTTATGAGACTTACCCCATGGAGAGCCCTGTCGCCTTATTCAACCTGCTCAGAGTGTGCATCGGCTTCCTGCTGCCCCTGCTGGTGTTGGCAGTGAGCTACTGGAGGGTACTGGCCACTGTGGGTCAGAGTCCTGGCCTGAGTGCTCAGGCTAAGCGGAAGGTCCGCCTGCTGTCCTTTGGGGTGATTGGGATCTTCTCAATTTGTTTTGCTCCATACCACATTCTCCTGCTCATACGCTCACTCGTCTTCTACCACAGCGAAAACGTATTACCTAATGGAAGTTACTGCCAGTTTGAACAAAACATGCACTTGTTCTTCTCATGTACGCTGGCACTGTCCAGTTTGAACTGCGTGGTGGACCCTGTGTTATATGTGCTGGTCAGTAACAGCGTACGGAAGGAGGTGAAACTGTGCTGGAGGAGGTACAGAGGGACACAGACAGATACAGACTGTGCTCTTACTGCATACAACAGAGGGATGCAGAATACTAATTTAATATGAAAAGTAAGCTGTATGTGGGTGGACAAGTCCACCTGTGCATTTGTATGCATATGTGTGTGTGTGTATGTGCATATATATACACAATTATGCATAATGCTGTAGCTGTTTGAAGGTCTTCATTTTTGGAGTTAGCCAGTAAGTAGCAGGATTATTTACATCCCATAATCAACCCTTCGTTCACAGACAATCAACATCCTTTGAGAGAGCCACATTGCCTTTGTTTCCTTTTTTCCTTTTTTTCTTCATCCTGCACAGTGTAGCAGAGGCAGTTGAATAACATGCACCTCAGAGCTCTGTAATTGGATTGCACTCCCAGGTTCTGCTCTCCCAAGAGTTCTTCAGTGGCGGCCACTTCTGGTTTGTGGTTGGACACTGCCGGAGTTGAAGAGCCCTTGTGTTTCCCCTCCAATCTATACAAGAATATTGTGATAGTGAATATGTGGCCTTGCTATAGCTAAAAGTGCATTTACTCTAAAGCATGGCAAAAAGCATTTATTAGCATAACCGTGTGTCCTAAGTGTCTGGCCGTCAGTGAAACATGTTGAATGTAAATAAACCATCATATAAACCAGTGGTTTGAACAGGTGCTCTAGTTTTAGGTTGTTTGGTTTATGCAGAAAATATGTGAGGATCAATTTTGCAGTTGGTATTTTATGCATTTCCACAGCGAGGGAAGGCCTTGGGAGATGATAAGCTCATACATCCAAGCACTTTGCCATTATTGTCGCACATAAAGGTAATCATAAATCCAACACAGCTGCACGTGTCAAGTGGGCAACGGCTGCAATCAGGAAACCTCTGTGTGTGTGTGCGTGTGTG